AGAGAGAGAGAGAGAGAGAGAGAGAGAGAGAGAGAGAGAGAGAGAGAGAGAGAGAGAGAGAGAGAGAGAGAGAGAGAGATGCCTATCTGAAGACTAAGAGGTTCTGAACTGAACTTGTAAGTTATAACTGGAGAAGCTACTAAAGTAAATATGAAACTCTGTTTTCAGAGTCAGAGCCCCTTTTCTGACTTTTTCGGTCATTTCCACACGATTAAGAACTTCAAGAGTTTTGGTCCTAGAAGATCTAAGGAGATCACGATACTTGGCACACTACACTGAATTTTGGCGAATTCAACGTTTCAGTCCGACACGGTGGATGTGATCAAATGTTTTTTTTGTAGAAGCTCGGCAGCTAGGATATCCAATAAACGTATTACGGCACGCAATTTTTGCCATTCGGAGAACAAAAATGAATAGAAAGACAGCCGCCAAGATCATAAGGTGGCGATACCACAGCCTGCGGTAATTAATAAATAAAGATATGAAATAATGGAAGGAGAACTGGCTACAACATCCTGATTCAACACAGAAACAAAAGCCAACAGAGATTCAGAACTGGTTTTAAACGGTCTTTCTGAACTGACGGTCGGAGAATCCATACAGAGGAAGGGCCTACACGGGCTCTCTGACACTGGCACTAACCGTCGAACAGGCGCGACAGCAGCACTCTGGAATGGCACCTCGGCGAAGCAAGTATACACGTATCCGCGCGACAGAAGGATCCCTTGTTTTTTGAGCCGTGACAAAGGGTACGAGGACGGGTTCTCAAGAATCCGCACTTCCACTGAACTGGCTTACGGGTGCCTCCGGAATACGAGGAAATGGCAAGGCTACGGGGCCATCGATTATACGGGATTGGTCTACGGCTACCTTGAGCTCTGGGGACAAACGGTAGGATTGGGGGTGACTGAGGAGTGAGGGTTGTAATGGACGCTGGACCTGGTTTCCAGCAGGTGCTGCTCCCCACCAATAGATGGAGCCGTCCTGGGAGTGCTAGCGGTGTCTGCTCATACCAGCACCTCTAGCACCGCCCGAGTTTAAAAAAAAAAAAAAAAAAAGGATGCACGGTGGGTGAATAGAAGTATCTGGAACGTTGGACACGGATGAAGCCTAGGAAACAACTATATATTGAGAGTAGTAGAAGATGGAAGTCGCCTGAGTGGACGAGGCAGAAGGACGAGGCTGGAGGCTGCCTGCATATTGATGCAGCACGCTTTCCAGTACATTATTGTTGTAGCACATTATGTCCTCCTCAAGAGTAAAGCCCCACATTTTGTGCTAAATTGTATGCATGACTTCTTTCTTCTTTCTCTTTCTTTCTCTCTCTCTTTTTTTGGAACTTTTGCAGTCTGTTCTGTTCCGAACTGTGCAAAATTGCAAATCATTATCATCATGCCGTTTCACAGTTGTCTTGCCGGAATGGGTAGTGCAGACGACGGCTTTTTCACAGTTTATGTATGAATTTTGGCCTAAATGGAAGACTGCCAAAAGTTGTCATGAGTGTTTTGCAGCAACTTGTGTCGCTGACTTTGCAATGTTCGCAAATTTGCATATTATCTGTAATTTACTAATTTGATTTCTTTTTTAACTTGCTTGCATATTGTCTGTAATTTGAATTCCTCTTAAACTTACTTGCATAGTATCTGTAATTTGAAGCTTTTAGCTTTTTAAAGTTACTTGCATATTGTCTGAAATTTGAAGCTTATTGAACTTACTTCTGGATTTACAGCAAGACAGGTGCTCCTGAACTGTATGAAGTGCACTCAAGGCACACTCCCACATGCCCGCCTTCGGACCCTTTCCGCCCCTCCCCCTGTCCTCCTTTTGTTGTTTGGTGGTTCATTTCGGATGTATTTACAACAGTCTACAGTCTTCCCCCAAACACAACGCACCTTCATTTTGGCTGTACCTGGCCGGAAATATGGCTTGTATGCATTCATTATCAGGGTGCGTTACATCGGGGGAAGACAGTAGTAGAGTAGTAGTACACAAGGGGAGGGGGGGCGCCGGGGAGGGGGGTTGGGGGGTCCATATATATACGCTTTACACAACTCCACAAAGAAAAGCATGGCTGTGCCAGACTGTTTCGTCGGACTTTCACCGACTCATCAGGAGGTTGAACCTAGACTGACAGTCTGTCCAGGATACATTTGACTGATGGATAAGGACACACCACGTCGCCCAGAGTTAGCGATAACCATCCCTGAGAGAGAAAAGTGGTTGACTTTTTACTCACACCAACCAACCCCGCAATCCTAGCACACTGTCGGTCCAAACCAAGTCTGAGAAACGATTCTGACACAGCCATAAAACCCACACTAGTGTGTGTGTGTGTGTGTGTGTGTGTGTGTGTGTGTGTGTGTGTGACTGCGTGGGTTGTGTGTGGTGCGCGGGAGAGTGTTGGCCTTCAGATGCTGCTGTTACTTGATGGGCATGGGGGGAATAGATGGGAAGGGCGGCTACTCGCAAAATGCTCGGTCTTTGCCGTAGCTGCACCCCCCCCCCCCAAACCCCCGCCGGCTTTGGGCCCATGATTGTGAAGGGTAGCTATGCTTGCAGGGGTCTCCTATATATATAGGATTAGTAGTAGTTCTAGGCAGCTAGCAAAAGGTGAACTGGCTTTTTTTTTTGGGAAAAAGGTGAATTTGAGAGAAGAATATAGCTTAGTTTTTTTTAAAAGCAGATAGCGTCATTGAACTGACCAGCCTGGGGTATTTCAGAGTTACTTTGTTCTGCGCATCTGATTGCATCTGGATTCGAACTTGGGTCTGATTCATATTTCAACAATTCCGTTACCAAAAAAAGAAAAAGAAAAAAGAAAAGAAAAAAACAATTCCTTTACCAGACACTTTGTCTGTAGCCAGAATAGCCGTACTGTCCAATAGCAGCCACAGAGGTGCGGGCAGTTTTTGGGCAGTTTTTGGGCAGTTTGTGTCCTTTTCTCTTCTTCGGCAATAGTCACGACCATCTTTTTTTTTTCGTGGAAACGAGCTGCAAGGAACGAAGTAGGAAGAGTCATCACCCCATAACCGGCCAGCGCTGCGTCATTCCCACATTATATAAACTCTGATGTCGTACATTATTCTTGTCCCTCGGGACATCCGTTAAAATTGGAACGATACAGAGAAGATTAGCATGGCCCCTGCGCAAGGATGACACGCATAAATCGAGAAATGGTCCAAATTTTTTGCCCGTTTCTTTTCCGTGGCGCTTGGACATCTCGATCTATCTTTCTCTACGCAGACAGGTCCCATAACTGAGAGGCCCTCCTTTCTTAGGCCGCTACAAATACGTTACTGCCTCTTCATTCTTTCGTCCTCCGGGACATCCGTTAAAATTGGAACGATACAGAGAAGATTAGCATGGCCCCTGCGCAAGGATGACACGCATAAATCGAGAAATGGTCCAAATTTTTCGCCCGTTTCTTTTCCGTGGTGAGAGGGTGTGGCTGCCTTAGACATCTCGATCTTTTTCGTGACGCGAAGAGACCTGACAACGCTGATGGATCCCATAACTCCGAGGTCTCAGTCCATTGCTCCTCGTACGAATAAGTCCCAGCCTCCATTATCTCTCATCCTTCGGGACATCCGTTAAAATTGGAACGATACAGAGAGGCAATGGGAATTCCTTCCCACGGACCACTTCACTATTGAATACCGACCTACGAATTTCATACTGATTCCCAGTGACCCTTTTGAAGGCCAACCAGGCCCATCATAATATGTAAACCCTTTCTGACTTTCTACTCTCGCTCCCCGTCCTCACCTCGTCCCCCTCTCCTCCCCCACTTCCCTTCCCCTCCCCCCCTCCCCTCCCTAACAGCCGGCCAGGGGAACTCGTCCTGAAGGGAAATGAAGGAGGGAGACCAGCGGAATACAGCCTCATCAGGAATCAACTGCGCTTGCATCAGGCAGCAAAAGGAGAGAGAATGAGACATGCAATCGTAATGTTAGCAGGCTACCGGGCTCAACCCCAAAGACTGAAGTTCGGCCGGCAAAACTGCACTACGGCCTGAGTTGGTTGTCTATATGACAGCCTACGGTAAGTAATAGTATACACAGATCTACTGACCTGCAGCTTTGTGGCTTGCGTTGGCCACAACCAACAAGACGATGAAATGTGAACGGTGGAGTGACT